GTGTGACCGTGTGACCATGTGACCATGTGACTGTACCGTGTGACCATGTGACCATGTGACTGTACCGTGTGACCATGTGACCATGTGACTGTACCGTGTGACCATGTGACCATTTCTAAATTTAATCATTGTCTATTATGAAATATGAACCTGTGACCTTTGACCGTGTCACCTGTAACCATGCAACCATATGATCTATATGACTCTGTGACCCTGTAACCTCTCCGATTGTGACCATGGGATCTAAATCCTCATGTCTTCCATACATCTATCCAAACATCAACACATATGATATTATAACCTATATGACTGTCCTAAATGACCTCGTGACCCAAACTGTCCCATTTAACTCGATTTTAACTATTTCACATCTCAATTGATTACTTGAATGCAAACCCAATATTCTACTTTGAAATCTCCAAAATTTTAAAAACACAAAACCCTAATTTTTATCAGTCAAATCGTGAGCGACACTTCAACTCAACAATAACAAATTTCAAAATCCAACAAATCTGAAAAGTAGTGTTTGTTAACCTAACCACGTGTTCATCTAACTTCGAAATATACATACGTTTCTTATTCTCGATCGAAGATGATGAAGAAGATGAGTACAATGATGATTTTGAAGCCATGTTCTTCGTCCTCGTCGTTACTTCTTGTTTGAATCTCAAATATAATCGGAGATTTGAAGAGAAAACATAAATTTATGAGAGAAATCGAGATTTAAGGCACAAATCGATGAGAGATTGAGAGTTTTGAGAGAGAGAGATGAAATTTAGGAGAGAGAGATGAAACTTAGGAGAGAGAGATGACAGATCGTGATTTAGAGGAAAGAGAAGAGAAAATATTTTTTTTTAATTTTGAATTTTTTAAATTGAAATAAATAGAGGGTTTTTTGTCTTTTCATTAATATGTGAGGATTTTATTGTCTTTTAACATGTTGAAGAGTGTTTTTTGTTTAATTTTTTGTTTTGAGGGTAGTGTTAGAAGTACAAATAAACGGGTATTCCAGCTATTTTCCCCCTTCAATAGCTATCTGACGTCATCATCTCTTATCTGACGGTTGAAATCCAAATGCTGACGTCTATCACACGTCATGCGTCCTCTCTATGTTCGTATAGTTTTTGTTTTTCCAGCCGACATCCCATGTTTAAAATATAATTATACTTTCCTCCCAATATTTGTGAAGTTGCAAACATTACCCTGTAAATAGAATACTATACCAATAAGTAGATAATAATAAATTATACAATTAATATAACTGAATTTATTTTCTAATTCACTAGCATCGCCAAATCAAAGAGAATATAATGGCATGTTCTTTTTATTAGCAAAGATCTAACATTTGAATTTTCACTATAGAAACTCAAATGAGGTTTACTCCCATAAATACAATAATTATCCATTTTATATCTCGACCGGACTACATTTAAATTTTTTATTCACGTCGCGCACTATGATATTACAAAATTTTTATTTTTTTTTAAATCTTCAATTCATTCATAAAATAAATAATTTTTTTTAAAGAAAATTGTTCTCATATGCGCTTCTAAAAGAGATTTAATTTAATAAATATTGTGGTATATAGTAAATTGCAAGTTGATATGTTGGTGTAGAACAAATATGAAAATTGAATATTTTTTAAGTAAAAAAATGAACCAATTGATATATTAAAAAAAGTAAAAAATGATTTCTATTTCTCTAAATCTATGAATGGATAGTTTTTTTATTTCGAATTTTTAATTTTAGTTTTTAATTTTTGGATTTTACCTTTTGTAGTTTTTATTAAACACAATTGAAAGAATAATATTTTTGTTTTTAAATTTTAGATTTTAAATATAAAATTATCAAAAAGGCTTTTTATACATATGTATAAAGTGAAATTTATTTTAAAATTATGGGTATTTTTATTTTTGAATATTTTATAAATTAATATTTAATAAAAAAACAAAAAAATCTTCTAATAAATCAGATTTTTTTTAAAAAAAAAATCTAAAAAATAGCCTTTTGGATTTTATTTGTTTTTTGATGAATATAACTTACCGTTTTTCAGAAAGAGTAAAAAGATACAATCTTAACTAGATATTTATTGTATTTTAAATATAAAAAAATTGGAAAAACTCTAACCATTCAAAACCTAAATAACTTTTGAAATTTTAAATTATTGCATGATTTTTATATTTTGTATTCGATAGATCCTAATATAACCCAAAATACTTAAATGTTTAGTGATTGATGAATCTAACCTACTCAGAAAGTTAAACAATCTCAATTTTTAGATAAAGGGTGAAATCATAGAGCATTTGAAAATATGGGTCTCAAAGGGAATAAGTCCAGAAAGACAGGGTGGAACGGTGACTTCTGTCGTTTGTTTTTTAAGCCCAAAAAATAATAATTAAATGAAAATAATTATTGTCATTATTTTATCGATTATCCTCTTTACTACAAAAATTAACGCACCATGAAGAAGGACAGAGGGTGAATGCTTTCTTCGAACGCTCTCTCTCTCTCTCTCTACCAATCTTCTGACTTCCTCTCGACTGTACAAGTGGAAGCTCTTGCTCTATACATAACCTCATTTATAAGCAATAATTAGGGATCTGATTCTACTTCACTCATTTCTAAGCAGCGATTAGGGATCTGCTATCACTGTTTCCTTGGATTCTTCGTGCTCCAAGTTTCCGATTGATCCTCTTGGTGCTTCTGAATCTGGTAATCGGCGAGATTTCTGTTATGGGTTCATCCAGTCGCAGTTAATTTTCCACGGATTCGAACTTATCGCGACTTTCTGTTCCGATTTGTTGTTATGGGCAATTGAAGTTCAAATGACGTGTTTCCTTATATTCTAGGTTCTGATTCGTTGTGTCTGGTTCTTCAACATGGGGGGTTTTGTCTGTTTAGATCTGCTGATGGAAATCGAAGTTCACTGTTGGAAATGGATCTTGAGTAGCTAGGGCTGATGTGTGTAGAAGATGATCGCACTTGTTCCGGAACTACAAGTCTGTCTGGAAACGGCTTAAATATGTAATAAAGTAGCATGCTTTGGCAACCATACTTGGAATTCTCAGTAAGATGATCTGAGTCAACAAATTCTTTCGATTTATGAGTTTGGAACATTCAGTAGTACACTGTTTGTTGTAATTGTTTTCAGAACTTGATCGGTATGAGATGGTAAAAATACCCGACGAATTGATGGAGAGAGATCCATGCTAGAATTTCGGTTCTTGTGATTGTTTATTCTGTTTCCATCTTCACCTTCTTACATGCCAAGTATGCTTAATATAATTTAGTGCCATTATCATATTGTTAACAATTGAGTCTGGCTTTATGTTGTTATCATCAGATCTCCAGCTGCATCTCTGTGTTTGTCAACTTCAGTGGGATCAAAGATGGGTGCCTATATAAGCATTTTATTTTCATGTATGGACCTGACTGGGGTCTGACCAAGGATGGTTTTTGAAGTGGTTAAACGAATAGTTACTTTGTAGTCTGGAACTAGGTCTTTTAAGATTTATAGCGTGTCCCTTTTACCGGGATAGTTATGCCTTCTTGGTGGGGGAAGTCTTCATCCAAAGATGAAAAGAAGAAAGCAAACAAGGAGAGTTTCATCGATACGCTGCATCGGAAATTTAGGGCCCAAACTATATCAATAGCATCTGAAGAGAGGTCTAGTGGCCGGTCAAGAGGGTCGCGTAGACGCTGTGACGGCATTGTTTCTGAACGGGGAGCTATATCCCGAGTGCCATCAAGATCTCCATCTCCTTCTACTCAAGTATCGCGTTGTCAGAGTTTTGCAGAAAGGTCTCATGCCTTACCTCTTCCGCTCCCTACCGTTCGTCCTCCTATTACAAGTCGCACTGATTCGGGAATTAATGCATCGAAAGGACGGGGATTAGATAGAGGTTCTCAGCCATCGTTTTTGCCACTCCCGAAGCCCCAGAGTGCTACAAGCAGGGTGGGGGATAGTACAGGTATTGAGGCTGACCTTGCCACTGCTTCTGTCTCAAGTGGTAGTTCTGTGGGTGACAACCCATCTGACTCACTTCTCAGTCCCTTGGCTTCTGATTGTGAAAATGGGATTGGGAACAGAGCTGCTGTTGGCAACTCTTCCAAGTAAGCTGTACTGTGATAATGTTTAATGCACCTTTTCTACTCTCTCTCTCTCTCTCGACATGTTTTCACTTACTTTATTCACAGGGACCAATCTCCACGTGGTCATAAATACTCAACCGAGCTGCTAACGCCAGTCCCTGATTTAAGCAATAAAGCTCAGATTCTATCGACATCTCCTAAGCGGAGACCTCTTGGCAGCCATGTGCAGAATCTACAAACTCCTCAAAGAGATATTCTCTTCAGTGCTCCAGACAGCTTGTTGTCTAGCCCTTCTAGGAGTCCGATGAGTTCATTTGTTCCAGAACAAGTCTCAAACCATGGATTGTCATTTGGAAAACCATATTCAGATGTTTCCTTGCTTGGGTCTGGGCAATGCTCAAGCCCAGGTTCAGGTTACAACTCCGGTAATAATTCCATCGGTGGAGATATGTCTGGTCAGCTGTTTTGGCTTCAGAGCAGGTGTAGCCCTGAATGTTCCCCTGTTCCTAGTCCAAGAATGACAAGCCCTGGTCCTAGTTCGAGAATACAGAGCGGTGCTGTTACCCCTCTTCATCCACGAGCTGGAGGATCAACCACTGGGTCTCCGACTAGACGACTTGATGATAGCAAACAGCAAAGTCATCGCCTCCCTCTCCCCCCATTAACAATCTCAAATACTTGCCCATTTTCTCCCACTTATTCGGCGGCCACTTCTCCGTCGGTCCCTCGAAGTCCTGCAAGGGCAGAGGCTATGGTGAGCCCTGGATCTCGGTGGAAAAAAGGGCGTTTACTTGGGAGGGGCAGTTTTGGACATGTGTATCTTGGTTTTAACAGGTCTGTTCAATCGGTGTGATATCTTACCTTCTTTGTGCAAACCATGGCTGAATAATTCTTAGTTTCTGAAGTTCTGGGTTGCCGTTCTTAAATTCCTTTTTGTCCTTGATTGATTCTTATGCTGAATCCCTGATTGGATGCTTTTTCTTTTACAGTGAAAGTGGTGAGATGTGTGCAATGAAAGAAGTTACTCTATGTCCCGATGATCCAAAATCAAAGGAGTGTGCACAGCAGCTGGGGCAAGTGAGTTTCACATCTTCATCATTTGGACTTTCTCACTTATATTATTCATTTAAAATTGCATAAAAATTTGCTCTTGTTGTGTGCTCGTTCATTTGACATTTAACACATCGGTTCTGTTTCAATGATATTGGCAGGAGATTGCACTTTTAAGCCGCTTGAGACATCCTAACATAGTACAGTACTATGGCTCTGAAACCGTAAGTTCTGCTTGTACTATTGGATATTTTCGCATGGCTTCATGGTTATAACTTTTCTGTCTCTAAAACAGATAGATGACAAGCTGTATATATATCTGGAGTTTGTCTCTGGTGGTTCGATCTATAAGCTTCTTCAAGAATATGGACAATTTGGCGAGAATGCAATCCGTAACTACACGCACCAAATTTTGTCAGGGCTTGCTTATTTGCACGGGAAAAAAACTGTACATAGGTGAAATGCATACTTGATTCTGTCCATTGTCCTGATTCCGCATTTTCTTTTTCCCCCTTTACCAATCTTTGCATGTCATTGTCCTCGCAGTTTGGTAAATTAAGCTAATATTGGTTTAAACTTTGTTCAGAGATATCAAAGGAGCAAATATATTGGTGGATCCCCATGGACGGGTGAAGTTGGCAGATTTTGGAATGGCAAAGCATGTATGACTACATTCCATTCCTTTTTGCCCGTTAAGAACTCTGCCTCGGATAAAAGATGATTGATTAGATGTCGTCTTATGAGACCATGATCTGATTTAATCACCTTAAAAAGCTACTCGCGATACATTCTAATGCAAGATTCCTTGGACAAAATGCAGATCACTGCCCAGTCCGGTCCTTTATCATTCAAGGGGAGCCCCTACTGGATGGCACCCGAGGTATGTATTGTGTTCTCTCTTTTCCATCCAGGAGGTTATGCATTCATTCATGATGCTTTATGATGAATGCATATGTCGTCATGTGCTCAGGTTATAAAGAACTCGAGTGGCAGTAACCTCGCAGTCGATATATGGAGTCTTGGATGTACTGTTCTGGAAATGGCTACGACAAAACCACCATGGAGCCAGTACGAAGGGGTTAGTAACTATAAGAATCAAATAACCCGAGATCATTGATGTTTTATTCCTCACATTCCCTGAATCATATAATAATCATACGTATGTACAAATTTCGAAAAAAAGGTTCCGGCTATGTTCAAGATCGGGAACAGCAAGGAGCTTCCAGATATCCCGGATCATTTATCGGAGGAGGGGAAGGACTTTGTGAGGCAATGCCTGCAGAGGAATCCGGCTAATCGTCCTATGGCAACTGAACTATTAGATCACCCATTTGTAAAAAATGCCGGACAGCCGTTGGAAAGGCCTATTACGACTGCTGATCCTGTGGAAACCATGCCCGTGGCATCAAATTCTATGAGATCACAGGTACTAAAACCTTGGTTTTTTTCTTTTCAAATATTTGATTGCTTCTAATTCTCCTCTTGGATCTATTTGTTCAGGATATAGCGGGCACGAGAAGTCTTCCAGGCTTGGACTCGGAAGACGCAACAAATCTCCAACCCAAAGGATTAAGACCTGGTTCAGCATTTAGGTATCTTAGCCCTTCTGCTTCGAGATTTTTGTGTTGCAAGGATCATAGTTACGACCGGATTCAACTAAAAACTCGTGCTAATTTTCTTCCAGTGCATCCCATTCGCCCAGAAACATGTCGTGCCCGATTTCGCCGATCGGGAGTCCAATCCTTCATGCACGTTCTCCGCAACATATAAGCGGGAGAATGTCACCGTCCCCAATATCTAGCCCGCACTGTGTCTCCGGTTCATCGACTCCTCTAACAGGATGCAGCGGATCCATCCCATACCAAATTCAGACGGCAACTAACTTCCTGCAGGATGGGATAGGATCCAGCAGAAGCTTCTATGGAAACAGTAACAACATTTTTCAAGAGGCAAGGCACGATATCTCCCGGAGTAGTCCGAGCCCGAGGACGCCGCCTCACGTGTTTTGGGAGAACAAGAACAACGGTTCCATCCAAACCAGAAGCTATGGCGGGTGGAATCTGAAGGATGGTCAGCCAGTTCTGTCGGAACACGTGTCCCAACAGCTCCTAAGTGAGCATCTGAAACTGAAAACCCTCGACCTCAGATCTGGTTTCTCAACTCCTGCCCCCACCAATGGAGGAGGAACCTAACCACAGAAACATTAGAGGGATTAACCAAACCTCTTCTTATGTTTCAGAAGCATGTAGAGTTTGCAGCCAAAGTTGGATGTTTTTAGGGACCAACAACCTGAAGATGGGTCGGGATCTGAGCATATGTCGGAAAGAGGAAGAAAAGGATGTACATTATGCAATCACTTTGAAATCCTGGAGAATGGGAGCAGAGAAATGTTTTTTTTTTTATGTGTACAGAGTTGTGGGGGGTTGAGCCATGAACATGATGAGCAAAAGCTCAATCTAAAGGGTCAAATCCCATGTATTCTTCACTGTATACCCACTTCATATTTATTTTAAAAAAAATGTATTTCAACGGTCTTTGTCTTTTGGCTGGGTTTTTCAGTTTTTTTTTTCTATTTAACTGTTCGGAATTTCATAAAAAATGAAGCATTTTTTCTGGGTAAAAAAGAAATTTTATATTTATGTTGGGGTCAAATCTGGAAAACTAATTTCCCAACTTGTACACTTCCATAATAAATACCCAACTTGATAAATTTGACATAAAAATACCAGAATTTGTAAAACGTTGACAAAAAAATTGTTGACTAACGTTGACCAGAAATACGTTAAGAGAAGATGATGTGGTGGCATGTCAAACATTTTGCCATGTCAGCAAAAGTATGGAAATTAATTTCGACCGATTTAACCGGTTATACCGGACCGACCAATCAGTTCAATAAAACAAACATCTTTTTTCCCCTATTTCCCATTCGATCTCAGACATTTAGAGACCTTCAACTTTTGTTTTTGGACCTTCATTTCTCTATTCTTCTCCATTATTGAATAAAAAACTATCTTTCGATCCAACCATCTTTTTTTCCAAACTTGAACTTATTTTATGATGCTGGTTTGTGATGTTGTATGTTGTTTTATTCCTTTTACATGGATTGCTGCTATTGGATTCTCCTTATTCCTATACAGAGAGGCAATTTCAGAAGATTAGAGGAGAAGCGCGATCAAGAAATGGAAATCAAAACAGGAAGGAATAGTATCCCTATCAAATTCTCCAGGGTCGTCGTAAAATGATGATGCCGACAACGAACATAAAAAAAGAGACCCAGTAGAGACATTTGGAGAAGAAGGGTTTAGGGTTTAGGGTTTCTAAATGTCGAAATCGAGGGTAAATAAAGAAAAACATCAGATTTGTTTTATTGAACCGATTGGTTGGTCTTGGCAATGTTTTACAAGTTTTGGTACCTTTATGTCAAATTTATCAAGTTGGGTATTTATTATGGGAGTGTACACGTTGGGGGAATATTTATGGGATTTACCCATTTATGTTGAACTTTAACATGTGCAATCCAATTCCTCTTATTCGGTTCTACACAAAAAAAAAAAAATGCTAGTATAAATCGGCCTATATGTGTGTGTATATATATTCTTCTATAGTTTTGGATTTTATCAAGAAATGTAATTAAATTCGTGTACATACATAAATGTGTATAACCCAACAAACACAACTTTTTCTTTCCACAAACCCAACTTAAGGCCCAAACGTGAAGCAGCGAGGCTTGTGGGCCCAAAATAGATATCCCTGAGCCCATCGTGGCCGATTAGAAGATAATGGGTTTTTTTTTTCTACCTTGTTTAAATTTTTATTTATCCAAAAATCAATTCGTACAAAAATAGGCCGGCGATTTTGTGGAATAACTATTAGACATTTCGAGCACCCGAAATATATATATATTAGAATATTGAGAATATATATATGTATATATAATAGATTCCACAACAGACAAATACAAAAAGAAACATGGTCCCTTAAAATAGATTCCAACATAGAAAAAAGACAAGAATTTACGAGTAGATAAGAACAATTCTCACATAACACAGAGAAAACACAGAGAAAACGGACATTGATAGCGACGACCACGTGGACATGAAAATGGATGAACAATAAACAAAAAAAAAGAAAAGAAAAAATATAAAAATAAAAATAAAAAAATCGGATTTGTTACATAAATTAAGAGCTGGATTTGAAAGGGATTGCTCTGATGACGATCTGGTGATACAGAGCAGCCAACGCAGCACCGATGAATGGTCCAACCCAGAATATCCACTGCCAAACATAGTTTCAAAATCAAACCAAATCTTTATCATATTTGGACCGACATATCATTCTGCATGTATGTAAATATACTCACGTGGTCGTCCCAAGCGTGGTCCATGTTGTAGATGATTGCGGCTCCAAGACTCCTGGCCGGGTTAATACCGGTTCCGGTTATCGGGATTGTCGCCAAGTGAACCAAGAATACCGCGAAACCAATTGGTAGAGGAGCCAAAATCTACAGAACAAACACAATAGTTATATATTAGACTGGAATCCGAATGGAACCGAGTAATCGTTATGTACTGAACAAATTGGTCCCATTTTAAACCAGGAACCGGTTCAGAATCTCATATATGGTTCACGTTTCAGTTCCAAATTCTCAACTGTGAATCAAATCCCGGTTTGGGGTCTATATCCCGGTAACTAATCAAAATAGATCCGGGTTTAAGCCAAGAACCGATTCAGAACCTCATCTACGGGTCACGTTTCAGTTCCAATTCTCGTCTGTGAACCGCAACCCGGTTTAAGTGGTCCCTATCCCGGCACTCTGGAAAACAAAACGGCCGGTTCTACAACCAACTAATCGAGAAACAGTCTCTTTCTCGAGATAACCAATAGACCAAACCGGAAATTCATACAGAGATCCATTCAAGAGAACCAAACCGGAACCAAGAAGAAATCCCGGTTAAGGAACACGTACCGGGACGTGAGAGTCACGCGCGTTACGCTTGGCGTCAGTGGCGGAGAAGACAGTGTAGACGAGGACGAACGTGCCGACGATCTCAGCACCGAGGCCTTGACCTTTGGTGTAGCCACCGGCCACCACGTTGGCTCCACCTCCGAGCATTTGGTACGGACCCTCTTGGAAACCCTTAACCACTCCGGCTCCACATATGGCGCCAAGGCACTGCATGATCATGTAGAACACGGCCCTCGTCAGAGAGAGCTTCCTAGCCAGGAGCAGCCCGAATGTCACCGCCGGATTTATATGTCCTCCTGAAAAAAAAACGAAACCCACATACTGATTCAGAAGCCGCACACATATACAGAGGTACATACACACATATATATACACATGGGTTATTATTATACCAGAGATGCCGGCAGTGCAGTAGACGAGGGCGAAGATCATGCCGCCGAAAGCCCAGGCAATGCCCTGAATTCCGACAGAGGCGCACATGGAGGGAGATCGCTTAACACCCATTACGGTCAAGATGGTGATGTAGAGGAACAGGAAAGTGGCCATGAACTCGGCGATTCCGGCTCGGTAGAAAGACCATGACTTTAGCTCAGATGGTTCGATCAATGGGGCCGGTGGTGGTTCCTTGTAGTCCTTCCCGGTTTGAGCCGCCGTCCCGATGGGTTGTCTCTCCGAGAACTTGTTCGCTCCCAGTCTCACGTCTTCTTCCTTTGACTCCATTTTTTGTTTCTCGCTCAGAGCCCTTTTTTTTCTGAGAAACTGTGTTCCTTCTCTCTTTCAGCCTCTCGTTTGTGGTGGTGGGAGAGAGGCGGATAAGGGTGGCTTTTATAGAGTGGAGATTTGTTGGGTTTTTTAAATGTAATAATGTTGAAAGATGTGTGATTTATTTATTTTCTACTCGGGGATTAAATTAATGGCTTTGGTTTTTTTTTTTTTTCGTTTTCTAGAGTTTGAGAGGAAGTTGGTTATTATTTTAATTATTAATATACTCCAATATTTTAAATTTATTTAAATTGGGACGAACGAAACCGAATCTATATCACAATAATAAAAATATTATTTGGTTAATTAGTGATCCACAAATGAAATATTATGGCATGTGCTTTGTGATCCTTTGATCACTCATTTTTATAATTAACAACAATTATTAGTGGTAATTATCACCAAAACAAAACGACAAGGACAGCGAAAACGAGAATGAATGTTCGAGAAATGTCCAGTGATGGGTAAGATGGTCATTTCGCATGAACCTCGCACTGGGTTGGATTAGATTGGTCCCCGCGTTGCGTATCCAACGGTAAAGCAATCACAGCCACAGGATCAAACGAAGTGAATCCGACGGCTAAAAATGCTTGAAGGTTTGGTGACCGTTGGAGAAGTGACAGCAAAGCACAACCAACGGCTAAAAATTTGACCTTTTCCTTTTAAAGGAAAGGAATAGAAAGAAAATTAACGTAATGATGTTGATTCATCTATTGTATGAAACGGATTATCATAAATTTTTTTTGATAATAGGATATCATATGCCAAAGGGCCACTAATTTTGAAAACAGGAACAATATGATATACGAATTCGGGATGAAACACACGTTTTACGTTTTCATTTCACCGATTCAACTATCTAAATGGAGTGGATTATCATAAACTTAGAAAGATCTTATCCAATTTATGCAATGTGCCTTTTTAACATTATTGAAATCCAATGATTTTGAAAGATTGGCGCTTCGGTTACAAGCTTTTGAGGGAGCTTTAACCTCAACCATCATGCTTGCATATACTTTTTTTTTTCCAACAGTTTAATCATCTTTAATTAATTCCGTCAAATTTGTAATTTCAAAAAATAAAACAAAATGGGGATAGAGAGAGAGAGATAATAAAGTGATAGGAAGACAGCTAAGTGTGTGAGCTTGCAAGGTCACATGCAAACCCTCTATGGCCCTCCATCCTCCTCACCCATATATATATATATATATATTATACCAATATGCATGTATATGTCAGTTATATATATATTACACAAAGAAAACATCAATGCTGAATGAAAATAAAATTCTTTCAGCGAAATAATTATTATTGGCAAATTTGATGGGGAAAGCACCATGAGACTTCATGCAAAGATGTAGAGAATATGTTTGATTGTTATTATTACGAAACCCTTTTAAATTTCCAAATATCCATCCAGATTTTTTTTCACGTGTATAAGGAGTTAAAAAATAATATTTATTTGTTTTATAAATTTTTGTATTATTATAAATAATTAGAATGGTCGGATGTCAATTTATAGTAGTGGACAAAAATAAACGAAACTCAGATTCAAGACTTGGTTTTCAAAATGCAAAATCCGCATGTCATATATCATGATAAATCTTTATAAATTTCATATTCATATAATTGATGACTAAAATGCCTTTTTAGATGATTATCAGTTTTTTCCATTGTTTTTATTATAGTTCCAACCGGTGATGGGCCTATTATATTCGGAAGAATAGTAATGTAAACTTGAATTTATTACGAGGTATATAACAATTTTAATTAAAATTTTATAAATTTATTAAAAAAACTAAATATTTTAATTAAAAAGTGGGTGCATATGATATCATTACCAATGGATATGCCCATGATTCCAACTTAAAAACGTTGAGGGTAGGGTATGCGAAGCGGTTCGGTCTTGGATTAATTGGTTACCATTAATTTGGATTTCGTTATTTCAGATTTTGAAAACTTATAATCAAAACAGTTATTTAATTTTATTCGGTTAGATTCAATTTCGATTTCGGTATAAAAGCTCGGATACCATATATTACAAAGTAGTATTGTATTTCATTAACTTAACCAGAGGATATGTACAAATATATATATGCTTATTGAACCAATAAGTTAGGAAATAATGAAGCTAAATACAAGGGATTTGATAGAGATTAGAATCAAGAGAATAACAAAAAGATTTGTTTCCATATCGTTTCTTCCATTAATGTTCACCTCAATTTTGTCTATTTAAAATTATAACCAAATAAATATTCAGTTTAGTTCAGTTTAGTTATGATATTAAAAAAATTCAAATCATTTAATAGAAAATTATTTAAACAAAATATAATATAAAATATCGTCATAATCATCTTAACATATAAATTCATGTCTTAATTTGTTTTAACACATAAAAACAACAAAATAAAAAGGTTTATATATTCTCTTCAAATGTCTATAACGCAAAAGCCTTTGAGATTAATAATACAATGACAAAATAAGAAATAATAAATTAATGATTTAATTAGAAATACATATATGTATATAAACGAAGCAGCATTATTTGAATTTTTGTCATTTCATCAGCCCTTGATTGGATATTAATTTGGAAATTTGTCGGCGAAGAACATTTCGTCATTTCATCAGTACCATAGCTACTGAAGAACATTTGATTGCTTTTCCCTAATTCAGGTTATATATAATCTGTGATTTCATGATTATGTTCGGTTTGACCATGATTTAAATTTTTTAATATTATAATCGAGTCCATCCGAATATAATCATTATTTTTATAATTTTAAGTAGATAAAATCGAACCGAACTAAATCGAAATCGAACTGAAGCGAACCAAATAAAATTAAATAACCATTTCGTTATGAATTCTCAAAATCCAAAATAATTGAAACTGAATTGAAGCGAACCGAACAAAACAAAATTAAATAACCATTTGGTTATATATTTTCAAAAACCAAAATACCTGAATCCAAATTAAATATAACCGATTAACCCGAACTGAAACTGTGACGCCCAGATTCCGTTTCCCATGAACAGGATGCATCACATAGACCAAAACCAATTAAAATAATACTAAACCGAAATGGGAATTTAAAAATTATTTTTCCATACAATTACGCAGCGGAACCAAACATCACACGTTTTTCAAAACAACACATGTCCAAAAACGTAATTAAACACAACCGTACAAACGTGGCACTGTGTTCTATAGTTCAAAATATACAAGAAAGGAAAATTTTTTTTGTACATGATGCTGCCTTCACAAATTCGTCGTCGTCTAAAATGCGCTACTCGTACTCTTCAGAATCTGAAAAATTCAATAACGGAGGGCTAAGCATAATGCTTAGTGAATGGCTCAGATTGAGTCTGGAGAGTCCATTCTCATGGAGAACGGTGCCAATTAATCTTTCTATACAAGAATTTCCTTATTTTCGTTTATCCATGATAATTTCACTCAATAATCCATTTTAATTCATTGAATTTCAATTATTATTATTATTATTATTATTATTATTATTATTATTATTATTATTATTATTATTATTATTATTATTATTATTATT